GTCAACAAAACAAGCTTTTTATAGCAGTGCTGATCAGAATAACTTTTGCGTTGACTGGTTTTAACTGAAGCTTCGACACAAGCTACAATGTAGAGGCTTGAGGGCTTATACCGGTAGAGGGAGGGGGAGGGGGAGGGGGGAAGCTTATAATATTGTACTGTGCCTGGGGGGGGGGGGCTTACAAAGGTAAGTGGGAACTTATGATTTATGTATGGCAGTTTACAGTTTTAAATCTATTGTACCTGAACAGCAATGATAGGACCTCCGTTAGCATACAAAAGTGGTTTCAGCTTTGGAAGAAGGACTCCCATCCATCGATCTACTGCAGCAATATAATCTGTTCAAGGATAAACACATTTATTCATTTTGATTCAGTTGCTGATGAGTCTCTTTCCTACACAATGTTCAGAGCTATTTTCCACAAACTGTCATCTTTTCAAAGTAAACTCAAATACATGAAGATTGGGCGCTTATCACTATTTTTCACCTTTTAAGACAATTCTTTCTACACATTGCATACAATGTTAAATATCTATATCTTTCTTACTTTTGTCTGTTGATGACCTAAACTTGGCTGTTGTGTAGTTCTTGAGCAACCATGCTGGAAGTCCACCCTAAAAATATATGTACAGTAATAAATATCATGAAATAATTATGTACATAGATGTAATAACTTCTTGAAAGTTTTGGATGTTGTCTTACAACCCCTATAATTGAAGGGATGTCTTCAAAAAAAAAAAAGTCCCAAGTGGGTCCTAGTGTCTCCTTTTTATGTTGCCTTAGAAGCTTTGCCCAACATCAACCTTTAAGTCCCAATATCCACATACAAAGTAATTCTCACACTACCCCCTTATCACCATATATTTCCTCATAGGGTAAGTTGGGAGGATTTGTTAAAAAAGATCAAACCAATCATTTTTTCTTTAGGAATTATTACATTAATCCTCATAAATTCTTACATTTTGATATTGTTAGGATGAAAATTGATGTTACTCCTTTGTTAAGTGGCGTCCTATTGAGCAGACACCCTCTACTTAGCGGCTCAATTTTTATTAAATGGCTTCTAATGTTCCCTTCTCAACAGTTGCCACCATTCAATGGAGGTATGACAATATTACTGTTAACTGTATAAATAAATTAGCTAAAAGAGGCTCACCAAATCCCACTCGGCACAGATGTAAGGACCTGTGTAAGAAAGAAGCTGGCTTAATAAAATATGTGTTATTTTACGCACGTACACCATCTTGATACTTCATGTCATAAGCTATAAACCTAAATTTCAGCCATCTCCTTGAGTTGCACACTCCTGAGAGAGATGTCTGACTCAACGAGCTGCTAATTCTGTTCAGAATAAAAGCAAGATAGTGCTGGCTATGAGCCATAAGCTAACACCCTTCCAAAAGTTTTGGGTTCCAAAAAACCTTCTTAGTTTGAGAAATTCATGAAACAGATTTTTGAGGCAGCTGATGCCACTGAAAATAGGAAAGATTTTGAGAACTGGTTCTACTTAGCAAGTTGACATTTCCTCATTGAGTCATAGGCTTAATAACTTCACCTGTGCACATACCGGTAATTGTCATTGTCATTAAGTAAGTTTCTTTATGAAACCGTGTAACTCATGAAAACAAACAAAGTGTGCAGAAAGATTGGGAAATAACACATGTCAGAACAACTAGTTTTAAATAACTCTTATTTACATTAAAAATATTGCTTTTTTATCTGAAACTGTAATCACTTTGCTTTGGAGCTAAAATAAAGATGCATTCATCTTAACTATAAAATATACATGTACTACACTACAATTATTTTAAAATTATTGTAGCCACAAAATATTATTGATCCGATTCGGATCACTATAAATCTGGGAAACTGCCCACCTTAGCTTCCCCCCTCCCCTACACCAACATTAACACTTACTTCTCACTTTGGGAAAATGTTGGCTCAGGGGAGGGGTACATGGGCAGTTTCCCAGAAACGTATAATGATCCAATTCTTTTTTTTAGTCCAGTCACCTGCTCTAACTAACACCAATAATCCTGCAGAATTTGCCATCTGGATAAAAGCAATCAAGTCATTATCACCACTAAAGTCATACTGTCCTTCCTTTGCTTCATGCATGTTCCAGGCAACATACCTTCAACAATTAATAACTATCAAATCAGCCAAAATATATATATTTTTCTCAAATACTATTTTACAGAAAGCATAAAATCCCAATTACTTGTGTAGATTATACTGTATTTTGATTGATTCTCCTTAAATGTATTTTCTCTTGCTTTTAATTTTTCTTACTGCTCGTGCATGACCTTCCGTGTATCATTGTTCCTTAACTTTTAAACCCTTATATCAAAATTCAAATTCTCATTTGTCCCTATGCATTTCCTATGGAGGTAGTTGGGAGAAGTTGTTAAAGGATCAACCAGATTCTTATGTGATCTTATCCTAATTCTCATCACCCATTTGTTTAATAAAGCAGTGATAAAATAGGGAGATTTTTTATGCTGATCTCAATTGTAAGAGAGCTTCCTGAAGGATAAAACCACCTGACCCTTCCCTCCCAATCTGTCACCTCTCTCTGTAACCCTAGAAAAGGAATAACCTAAAAAATTACCAGGGAGGGGAGAACCTGTAGATTTATAGGTTAAGGAAGCAAAATTTCACCTTACGTTGCCACAGCATTTAATCCTGCATGTTTCATTTTCAAAAACCTGTCCAGCCAGTAAAACTTTGGAGTGCGAAAATAATGCATTTCGCCAGAGATCAGCAGGAAGGGTTTGCCATCTTTAAGAAATCTATTCCTCTCAAAGTCAATTTTAAATGTCCTCCTCTTCATCAATTTCTTTGTGGGTTTTGAATCTTTCTTACTTTTTAACTTTCTTTCTTTTAAACCAATAGATAAAACTGCTAAGGACAGCAATCCAAGCAAAAGACATGAAACCCTCATATTTGGTGATATCAATAAAGAGCAGGCATCTAAAAGCTACATAATATTTCTACAGTTTTGTTTACGCATAATTGTTTATTAATAGGATCATACGATGAACTGTTATCCAAACAAGGTCATACTACCCGCAAAGGACTTGAATTTCTGAAATCAATTAGTCGAATTAACAACCAAATGAAAATAAAACCCCGCTTACAGCTAGGGGTCCGGAAAAAGTTTTGAACGGACGAACATTTTACCTGCAATTCGTGTGCAAATTTAGTACCGTGCAAATTCTGCGCTTTTTGCCGTTCAAAAACTTGCCCGATTCCCCAGGGAGAAGGCGAATCCGTGCAGGTAATTTTGTCTGAACCCGTGAAAATGATTTTAAAAAGATTGAAATAGACAAAATTATGTCGGCCAAACTAAACTTCCCATGGCTTTTTTTAGAGAGCCGAAATTATAGATACTTCCACCGTGACATCTATAGGATTAACTGTTGACGTTGTAAGCATACTAGCTCAGTGCACGAAATAATTTGATCTGCTGAAAACTACTGTCTTTCCTTTCGGAATTGAGTCTCGTTCTCTTGCAGGTAACGTTTCTTAAGGGCAGTAAAATTGTAAGCTTGTTATACAACAAAACTTTAAATCATGGTGGAAAGACGCATGATTTCTACTTACGTTTGCACTGCATTAAGACCTGCAGCTTTCATTTTCAATAGCCTGTCTTGCCAATAAAACCTCGGTACACGAAAGTAGTGAAAACTACCAGAAATGTAGCGAAATGGCTCTCCATCCTTAAGGAAAACGTCGTTCTTCCAGTCTACAACGAATGAACGGGATGAAGTGATATGAAATCCCGCTAAAAACACAAAAAGTGCGACCCAAATAGCCGCTATACCACCAGCCATATTTGTCCAAGGCTTCTAGAAAGGAACGCGTGACAAACTCCATGGCTCAACAACTCACGTGAAAAACCCCTGACCGCTGAATAAGGGAAGTACTGATGCGAATGGCATGGATCGCCGGAAATCGGGATAAGCACTGAGGGTGTGCCTCAACGTAACATAAACTTTTTATTAATCATCACTCGTCTCCCGTAGAAATTACACTTCAAGGTTCTTGCCGATTCGCGTGCAAGGTCGCTAAACGTTTTAAAACTGGCTTTTGGTGCAAGACGAAAATGGAGGAGATGTATGAAAAGTCGCGCATAAACAGAAAACTCCTCCCAACCTTTACTCTTACGTGCGACCTTTCACATATCATGTCTTATTTGTTTACGCACGTAAAGCCAAATCAAGTTTACTTTACGTCGGTCTAAACATGAACGTACCGGACCGTAGCCTACTTTGACTGGTGCGACTGAGCATGCAGCTTGCTAACTCGGTCCCAGTCCCCAGCTGTGCCAGTCACAGTCATGACATGTCAAACTGCCCTATGATAACGTCTACTTGCTTTAAAAAAAAGCACAGCACTACTCGTTTCGCATTATAAGCTATTGTAGGAAGCAAGAAAATCTCTGCATAAGTTTCTTAGAGAAATTTGGGTATTTAGTTTCTGAGGTTAGGTAAACAACATGATCGATTTCCTGATCAATGGAATGATCGGTGGGTCAGTTCTTTGATTGACTGACTGATTGATTGATTGATTGTTTATATGCCCCCTGAGCAAACAAATTCCAGTATCAGTGATAGCAAAATGGCCATCGGAGTCTATTTGCTTGTTTGCCTTACTTATGCTACATGTCTTTTCCATCAAACAGCAGCCAGATCCTTCACCGTGGACTACAAAAACAATGTCTTCCTCAAAGATGGCGAGCCATTTCGCTATATTTCTGGAAGTATTCACTATTTTAGGGTCCCTCGCGTTTTTTGGCGTGACAGACTCGAGAAGATGAAAGCCGCAGGGTTAAATGCCATACAGACGTGAGTATTTTCCAACTAAAAAGTCCAATTTCAAGAATAACTTCAAATGTCAGTTTAATGATAATCATAATAATTTATGGTATCATACATAACGCACCGCCAAAAAGGAGTTACATGCATGTTAACAATGGATCAAACAGCCACCAAGAACTAAAGGATTTCGTGTATACTCAACGATCCAAACCTTAATTAATTGATTAATTAAAGAATACAATAGCCGTTTGCATCACATTACTTTACGAAATTCTCCCTTGCAGTCGATGTCTCCATGGAGATATACCGTGGAACTCAATTTTGAGAGAGTTTTCTGCAGATGGCCGATTTTTTGTCTTTGGGGTCACTTTGTTGTTGGTACGAGCGAGCGCCAAGGTCGCGAGGTCAGAAAAAAATCCGTCTGGATTAACCAAAGAAAATATTAGGACTTTATAGAGAAAGTCCAAGAAAGACAACTAAACTAGTGGAAAAACCTCTTAAACGAATGAAACAATTATCCAGAATTTGTGAACCTTTCTCGAGCTTTACAAATTACAAGGCAAAAGTTGTTTCTCCGAACAGTCATTTTACTGAAAAAATATATTATAATATTTGCCCGATATTTCGTTTTGCAACTAGACTTGCTACAAGTCGACCTCTTTGCAAGATTTGACTACATAGCAAACAGAAAATGAAAATGATATATGATAGGCTCGGAGTAAAAATATAAATGTCACTAAATTAAGTTTATCACATCTATTTATATAACCACGGCTCTAATGTTTTGTCAGGGTGCAGACAAGAGATAAGATCTGCCGATACAGGAAATTGTGTCGAGTGTGTTTATTCCAGGCAACAAACAATGAAAAACCTCTCGTCCTAAGGACATGGCAAATTATGGGTGGAAGTCATCATTGCTACTTTTTTATGATGCAGTAGCGACCGAAGATGTTCTCACAGCAAGCGATAACGATGAAAAACTTGTCAAAACTCAGGAAACTCGAACTGTACATTTTGCATGACTAAAATCGTTGTCCCGTTTTGAGAGAATAAGCAATTTCGACCGCGATTACTCGTACTGGAAAATTTTGTTTTAATTTCCGTTTTGGAAAATCCACAAAAAAAACCTATAAAACAAGAAGGCACTTACAGTGACCTCCAGTCTCGCTTGCTTGGAGATTAGATCGAGAAATGAGGAGGCGAATAATTCTACACGAAACAGGATTCAGTACTCGCTAAAGGTTTTTTACTCCCTACTTTATCGACGTTGATACTTTTTACTTGTTTCTAAATTGATTTAGTACCCGTGTTAGCGACGACCGGAAATACGTTTGTGGTCGCATACTACACGCGTGTATAAATACACGAAAATTTAAGGGCGTCGATTCCAGAGAAATTGCATCATTGCCAGAGATCAGAAAAGTGATTTACATGACACATCATTTCAAACGTCGCCGAAGATAAATCGCATGCTCATCACAACAGTCATTTGCATACAATGAAAGTTTACAAAACCCGACCATCGCAGTTTTGCTAATTAAGACCACTTAGTATTAGTAGTGTTCACTTGTTCCAAAGTAATCAGGGGCACCCAACGGCAATTTTCGGAAAAATATCTGTTCGGAAGACGATTTGAGATCTAGAATTTTCGGAACATTTGTTAGAAAATTTCTTGCTTGCCTGCTTCTCCTAGGATTTTCGAACATCTAAAATATGGTAGAATTGCCTATTTTTAACGGATTTTTACCCTAAAAAGGTCACCTAGAATTTTCGGGAGCCTCTTTTCTGGCTGAAATTTTCGAAAAGGTAAGTTTTGATCCCTATAATTTTCGGATCACTAGACTTTCAGCTAGGAAATCCGAACAGATGAAAAATTCTTAGGGGATAAGAATATGCCTATAACTACCGTTTAAATACCAAAATACGTTTAACAATGCTATTTTTAGTGGTTTTGAACTATATTTTCGTTGGGTGCCCCTAAGTAATCGACGATTTCAAGCGATAAAATTCGTGGACCGACTACAGGCTATACGCGTGTAGTCGGAAAAGCTTCAAATGCTTTCTTCCCAAAAACATGTGTGGCTTCGATCACGCAACGATCCCAGTTTCCACGGACACGGCAAAGAACGCCTGGCACAAAGGCCTCCCATTTGGGTGGGGGTGCCTTACCCTATTTCAGACCAAAATCTGTGATTTTCCCTACCCTATTTCAGACCTGATCAAAAATTTGATACCGTATTTCAGACCTGAAGCCCTGGAGCCCTGTGCGTGACCGGAGCGCGTGACAAGCTGTTATGGCACGTACACGGTTGACGTAAACATTAAAAGAGAAATGGTGTTATCGCCAAATGATGAAGTAGCTTCTTCTAAAAAAACATACCCAATTCAAGGCTAGAGTGCACAAACCATACCCTCTTTCAGACCAAAATGGTCACAGTCTCGCTTGCGTGACTAATGATGTATGAAATATCAAATTGTTCGTTACAAGTATCTAGCATCACAAAAAAGGAAAAGAATGAGGCTGTTGAACAGGAGAGTTGAATTTACAACGATTTGCTTATTGTTTTTTATCCCATCATCGAAGTTCTGCTCATGAAGATTCTTCCTTTTTTCAACATGTGATGTATTCACTTCTTTCAAAGTTATCAACGCTTTCAAACGACAGAATTCGTGAAACGACCCATTCCGAAAACGCTCGACATCTTTTAGTGGGGGTCTACCACGAATGGTGTGTGGATTTGTAAGCGACATCACCGTATAATCCATTTATCTTTGCAAATTTTTCTTCTCAAAATATTACATTCTGACAAGTGTACGTTGTTTTTCGAAACGTGCAGATGAGAGCATCGTGTCGTTTTTCATTCCCTGATTCTGCGCTACCATTCATGACCCGCAACACGTTTACAAAACTGTTCTTTCTGTCACGTTCAGCTGTGTTTAATTTTTCCCACGTGAAGTTCAGAACCAAATTCCCATAAGATCAAATTTAACCAGAAATACGTGTATCGCAGAACTTCCCGAAGCTCGGGGGGGGGGGAGGCCCACAAAATGTCAGGGAAGGAAGGGGGAGAGAAATGGAGTAAATTGTATAGCTTGGGAGGGCGAGTTTCAACACTGGCTCTAATATTGGAAGGTGAGATGTAGTTAATCGCCCTTTGGTTGGAGTAAATTTCAACCCAGTGCTCTTTTATGAAAAAAGATTTTCTGGGATTTAAATGGGGTTGGTGTTGTTAAGGAAGGGTAACCAATGTTTCACAGGTCCCGTGTTCACCCCATTTGACCCTCCTACAAGTGTAATTATACTTTTTGTTATGTCTGTTTTGCTCTCGCGATTTTATCGGCTTGCTATGTGATATAAGCATGAAACGTAAACCTAGGCCTGTTTTGTTGAAAAAGAAAAAGTGGGATTTGTTGCATGGAAGAAAAAATTTTGCCATAGCACTAAAACGTGATAAACATTTCGCGTTATTCCAGTCATCGCCGAAAAGAAACCGCATGCTCATCACCAGACTCATTTGCAAACAATGAAAGTCGTCACGATTCTTATCCCCAGTTTCCACGGTCTCCGCTAGGAACGCGTGGCCTCCAACCTAGGTCCCACCCACAAAACAAGAGAAAAAAAGATATGGTGCCTGCATTTTTAGAGTCTCGCTCTGCTAAAGCAAGCTCGACAAATAACGGCTGTTGGTACCGACTGCTCCTTTACTGTAGTGGTTAAGTAAGAACCAATTTTCAAACCGAGTTCGAGGATTCCTGGCTGTCTTTGCACTTTTTCTTTTTTTTTAAAAAAAAAAAATTGAAGATAAGGTCTCCTCAGTATGTAAGGTTGATGAGTTGTCCGACCTTGAGTTTTATCCTGTAGACTATACCATACGAAACCATGAAAGAGCGTCGATGGCTTTTCATTCTTCTTCCCCAATACAATCCTATAGTACAGTTCGGAACAACGCCGACAGTGTCTTAATAGAATTAAAAACTTTAATTCAGGTTCTCAAATGGAACCTCTGGCAATGGAATGGACTATACTCAAATAACAGATAGTTATAAGAACTTACTTCTGTGTCGTCTTCCTCACAGGTACATAGCATGGCAGGTCCACGAGAAAGTTGAAGGACAATATGACTTTGAGGGAGGAAAAGATTTTGTTGACTTCACGCAGCTGGCGGGATCTTTGGGGTTGCTGGTGATTATAAGAGCGGGTAAGTTAAATGAAAAAAGAGATAATATACCCCATATACCTGAGAAAAGGCGCTCCCCTGAATTCGTTAGCAGTAAGGGCACAAAATGCCCTGGCACTAGTGTTCAAGCATCAAATGTAAACGTAAATAGCCGTGTGTGTTTTCTAATAGCCATGAATGTCTTCTTATAGCCGTGCGTCCTGTCTTATAGCCACACGTGTTTTCTAATAGCTATGCGTGTCATCTAATTGCTGTGCGTGTTTTCTTACAACCATACGTGTTCTCTTTGCAGGCCCTTTTATCGCAGCTGAGCGAGATATGGTAAGCGTGTAACAAAAATAAATATATTTTTCAAACACTTTATTTGAACATTCAAACTTTACGCTTTACTTCTATTACGCAATTGCAACAATTATTTTCAGGGTGGATTTCCGCCTTGGTTATTGAAGGACTACACTGCTAATTACATGCCGCGATTCAGAACAATGAAAAATGCCGGTAAGGGGCCGCAAGTAGTTTAATTTAATGTATGTAATAAACTGTTTTGTTATATAGTTGGAAATTTTTACCCAACAGTGTGCGCTCTCATTGGTTACTTTGAGATCACATGACATCTAACAATAAAACCGTTTCCTTCCCAAATCTCTGAACTACAAAATTGATCACTCCAGAAAATACCATAACAAACCATAATGCTCTTTGTTTGTCACCCCAAAACTTTGCACAAGCATTGTCTTCAGTTTCTCTTGGGAGTTAAAATGGCCCAAAGGGAAACTTAAAACAAAGATTATGCAAAATTTTGGGATGACAAACAAAGAGCATTATGGTATGTTATGGTATTTTCTGGAGTGGGCAATTACAAGATCTATGACGTCAGAGTGTAACAGCGCGAATATCGACGACCGCCGTTACAACGAGGTTTAATTAATATTTAGCTTCAAAATTAGACTGGTCCCTCGCGAAACAGAAAATTTTGTTTCCCTCGGTTCCGCCTAGGGAAACATTGTCCTCAAGCAAAGTGTGTATCGGGAAACAAAATTCACTATTTCCCTCGAGACCAGTCATTAGGTGTTTAATGTATACAGATTTAGCCAGGGCTAAAAGTGAAGCTCTCAATAATGTTTATAGTTTGCTCAACAAAATATAAATCGTGTAATGCTAAGCGGTAATTAGCTAATTAATTGGTCTAATTAGCAAAAAACAACTTTGCACGTGCACCACACTTTCTTTGTACATTTCTTTGCCGTTGTTTTGCATGACTACAACGTGAAACTTCCAGAAATTTCGTAGTTAGACGTTTTAGGAAGGAAATGTCGTTCGTGTTCTCGTTCACTTTTTTTTCACTGCCGTCCATTTGCGCCTTATTGGCCACAGCATTTCTTATTTTCTCACCGCCGCTACAAATTTTTCATGTTGCCTGTCTTTCCTCTCCTCTGTTTTTTATCTCTCGCTCTAGCTCTCTGTCGCTCTTTTTCTGGTTGAGCTTCTCTGGCCTGTCCCTACTTTCTCTTTTCTCTGTCTTTCTCTTTCTCTATATTCGAAATTTGTGGACATGGCAATTAATCTAAGCTTAATACTTTAGAAAACACGGATACATAGACAATTTCCGCTTTCCGTTTTCGTCTTTATTAACTCTTCAGTTGTCTCTGCTTCACAAGACGCGGGTGGCCATGCGATTTCCCGCCAAATAAACTCAAGTTGCATTGAGGGTTGCAATACCTGTTGATTGAGTTGTTTTACATTGATATGCCTATGGTGCGGACGGACGGACGGACGGTCGGGCGTTTGGTCACGTGATTGCCAACATTTCTCAGATGGGTAGAATACCACATTTTCTTAGTTATGGGGCTACGCTAGCGTGAGCTTCAGGCGTGCTTGGAGCTCCGCTAATAAATTCACAACACACAACTCCCTGTGGTAAAGTCAGTACCTTACACATGCGCACAGCCATATCACATGGGCATTCCCCACTTTGGAAACAGCCTTAACTAACTCTCGCAAAGACTTGTGGGACTGTTTCACCAATTTTATTTTATTTTATTTTTTATTCTATTAGCTTCGCCAACATAATATAAGCGGCGAAGTGGCTGCCAAGGACAGCTGTTTTTGATGGTTCACTTATAACACACTGGTCACTCCGCGTTCATTTTAGACCGTAATCATTCCTTTAAGAGGCTTAATTAAATTGTAAATGCGTTATGTATAGTTGAATTAGACTTAGATGTGCTAACTAGTTTACAGGCAGTTTACATAAATCATTTGAGTTAAGTAACACCAAAATGTAATATAAAAGGATTAAAACCCTCCAGCAGGGAGGAGGCAACCAGCAACCTATACACAAACATCATGACCGGATTTGAACTCGGGACGACCAAGGAACAAATCGAGCTAGTGGTCAGAGCGGGACTGGAAACCAGGACCGCTGGATTGCAAGTCACGTGCTGACCAATTGGCCAAGATGGGTTATAGCTGTATCATAACAAATAAAATCGTGTATTTCCATTATCTATACTAGATTTTTTTCGAGACCGTCATGGTTGAAAAAGCCGGGGTTATCAAAGAGGTCTGGTTCGCAAACCCTCACATCTTAAGAGTAGGGTCGAACAATATGCCGGAAAAATCTCTGTTTTCAAATGTTTATTTTAAAAGTGTATTTCTCCATTCTCCTTCCTCCTTGTTCTGACAACAAAACAACAGGTGTCGTTATTTTCAAATCACTCATCCGTATATTAATGTAGTTGGAATGCATACTCTTCCAATGATTCAAACTCTTTCCTTTTTGTAACATCATAGCTTATATCGCTGCAGTGGACAGATGGATGGGAGTGCTCCTTCCAAAAATAAAGCCTTTGATCTATTCTAATGGAGGACCCGTTATTACAGTTCAGGTGAGAAGCAAAAACTGGATGTATTATGATTTAAAGTTTACGTACCTGCCTAAGGCTACCTACTACTATATTACCCTGCGTAGGAGGCGCTTTAGAAGTCATGTGGACGTGAGAAAGAATGGGACGCAAGAGGCACACCCCTAATACACGCACTTGGAAGCAATATGTCTCCGACGCGTGCCCCGTTCTTTCTCGTACCCATATTCTTCCAAGCGCCTGTTACGCAGGCTACTCCTGGCCGGGTAAACATAAATTTCTTCATTGCCTTAGTTATCGTGATTGTTTTTTCATTGCTTTCAGAGGAAAGAATTAGGGAAAGCTGCTGCCCAAGATATGTGTGTTGTTTTGTGTGTGTATAATATCATGTCGTGGATTAGAGGCCAAAAAGACGCGCCCTTTTTACATTAACATGTCAACAGTAAGTTCGGACGTCAGCAAACAAGGCCGCCATGGGCATCTGCTATCAGTCCATTTATGAGTTTACGGTAACCCACCCATGCCCCATGATATGAATGATGCGTGATGCGTTATGCTTGAAAGGTAGACCACACCATCGGGGAATCTTTCCTGCTCTTTTTGAACAGTAGTGTGGGTTCTTTTACGTTCCCTTCGATTTCACTAATAGCAGAAGGAAAAAGGAGACCAACGGTTTAACGTCACCGCCCAGTGACACGATCATCTGAACTGAGACAAGGCCTCAAATCACAGTCACCAGCTTTTTTTTAAGACTCTGGTTTTTTGTCCGGCCGGGATTTGAACCTACGACCTCCCGCTCAGCTGACCGGTGCTCTCCCAACTGACCTAACCTGGCGGCGGTTAGCCTCGGTATGACCCTAGCCTTGGCTGTAAAAAAAAACAAAGACAAACCCTAACAAGAGAGCAACACAATGCTTCTTCGTGGATCAGTTCTTTCTTAAAGCAAGAGAAAGAACCCCGTGAACGAGGTTGCGTAAAGAGACTAAACACAAAAGGCAGAATAGCAAAATCTGTGGCAACGAATTTCTTCAATGAATTTGACTTTGAAAATCGTTATATCTCAGTTACCGATCCTTGATTTTTGTCTTTAGGTAGAAAATGAGTATGGAAACGTGGAGCAGTGTGATCATCAGTACATGGCTCACTTGAAAGATGTCTTTGTAAAATATCTTGGCAACGATGTCGTTCTCTTTACAAACAATGCTTGTAAAGACAGAGCTTTCGAGTGTGGAACCCTGCAGGGGATGTTGTCAACAATAGACGACGGCGGAGGTAAAATATGCATAAAACGTATTCCCAAGCAAAGTATTTTTTCCTTTCGCAGTGATACAGCTGGTTCGTACTTAACCCCTTCCGGTCCTTTCGGTTCATTTTATCACCCAATCTCTCCTGCGCAGTCGGTGGAGACGGGTTAGACGTACCCTTAACGCATTTAACTTCGCATGTGTAGGCCCAGGTTTAAGCCTGCCTTCGAGTCGATTCCTTAGGCAAGAAACTTTGCTGTAGTTTGCCAGGTGTATAAATGGGTACCCGAAACATATTACTAGGGTAACCCTCAATAGACTACCATCACATTAAGGGAAGATAGTATTCGCGGTTTTTGGAATTTCAGTGCGATTATCCCAACTCGCTCACTTTATCAAACCACTAAAGATTTTGCATACTGCTAGAACTGGAATGTCGACCTGACGTGTGCTTATGCGTGATGATAGAAATTAGTCTGTACCCAGACGTTGTTTGATTTTTCTTTTCGTTATTTCGGAAAACATCGGCGAGCGCTCGAGCGAGGGGAGCGAGCGAGAGTGAGCGCGGAGCGCGAGAAATGAAGATATTTTTTCAGGCAGAGGCACCTAAGGCTGCTCGGAAGAAAAAAATCCGACTACTCCTAAATCGAGGATATCCTCGTACAACAACTGTAAATATTCCCCATAAGACTGCGTTTGTTTTATATTTGAACGCCGTTATTTCAGGTTTGATGCTGGTGCGGCTACCTCGTCTCCATCGACTGCGCAGGAGAGATTGGGTGATAAAATGAACCGAAAGGACCGGAAGGGGTTAAGTACGAACCAGCTGTATCATTGCGAAAGGACAACATTCCACAGTCATTGCAGGCTCACCCACTTTTTTCACTCGCTTTATCGGTTTATGTCCTCGCTTAAGTGCAAAGCTTTTTAAGTTATCTTCGCTTACCATGCACTAGTCAGAAAATTTAACAGGATGCTGGTAAACTCTGACACTGTCTAAATATTTCTTTTATTATTATTTTAGGAGAAAGGACAGTGGAGAAATGCTTGAAAACCCAGCGTTCGTTTAAACCTATGGGCCCCCTAGTTGACTCTGAATTTTACCCAGGCTGGATCGACCACTGGGGTATGAAATTCGAGCACCGAGACGCTGAGGTTATCGCCAACGATCTCGATATTTGGCTGAGCGCCAACTACTCCGTAAATGTGTACGTGTTTCATGGCGGGACGAACTTTGGTTTCATGAATGGTAATCTGTTCAAATATCAAACCCCTCTATAAGAACAATAAACAGTGTGTTTTTTGATGGCTTTAATACTATCTAAATACTGTGAAACCTCCCCTTCGGCAAATGGGGCTTACAGGTCGACTGAATGGCTTGTGTAACCGTGGGGTTATTCCAGGTTTTGTCAAGTCAAGTCGGCACTACCATAAGCTTTCTACGACGGCGTCCATTCAGTTTCAATTTTGTCCAAAATTTAGAACCACATTGTACAATCCTTTGGCACATCATATGAAAAAGGCTTGTAAAATGGAAAAGTTGACAAAATTTTTCCATGACATGGTAAAAAAAAAACTTTAAAACATTTCCCATTTACAACACCAGGGAAATCTAGCCAATAGCGAGGTACTCGTGACTTGGGTTTTTGGTATTGAGCCTTGTGATTGGCTAAAAGCTATCCCACCAATCAGAAATTAATCTAAAACAATTACATGTAATTACTTTTATTCAAATGTATAATCGTGATGATTTCAGTGCAGAAACTGTCTTTATCAGGTGCTAATTTCAACCCTGACAACGGCTATGAGCCTCAGATAACCAGCTACGACTATGACGCCCCTATCAGTGAATCAGGAGAGCTTACAAAGAAGTACTTTGCTATGAGGAAAGTGATATTAAAACATCGGGGTCTACCGCCTCTACCTGTTCCTGTATCCACACCGAAACAAAGCCATGGAAACATCTACATGACCAAGGTAAACACTTAAACCTTTACTTCAAATGGGACAAAACAGATTGTGTAGTTCGAAAAACAAATGGTACCAAGTTAAAGTAGTACCGATGAGGTTTGGATTAAAGGGTCACTCACACATTAGTAAATTCTAAATTCTTCGAGGCAAAGAAACTCGTCTTCTGTTCACTCTGTTATCAGGGACAAAAGAAAAAGGACTGAAATAGAATAATTAATTCTGCATACCGTAAACCTCCGCCTATAAGCCAGGGGCTTACATAACTTCGTCAGGAAGCTATATAGCAGTGAACGTTCAAAATACTTTTTGAATTTACTGGCTTTTTTAAGCTTCAAAACGTTGTACCATATTGAACTCATTTCAATACAAGCTACAGGGGGTCCTGCATCCGGGGACTTAAAACTGGATGAATTTTTTGGTTTACAGGTAGATGGGCCTATAACTGGTGGGGGGGGGGCTCATGATTTGAGGGGGCTATAAGGGGAAGATTACAGTATTATGAGTAAACTGTATTCTTTTCGCACTTCGAGCGTATTCGTCTCTTTGGGCTTATTTTCTGGTAACAAGTCCGCCTAATATTTTCCCAGGTGGCCTACTTATTAGATGTTGTCCACAGCCTTTCTCCTTTTGGACCAATCAAAACCGTTCTTCCTAAGACCATGGAAAGTGTTGGACAAAACTACGGCTTCCTACTTTACCGCACCCAGATTCCTCAAAAGTTTGCAAATACAAATGTAGAACTGGAAATTCTCGGACTACGAGATCGCGGAATTATTCTGGTTGGCCAGGTAAGAGAGCTATTTTTGTTCATTATTTGTGAGAGCTTGAAAGAGATCTCACATCAACCTCGTACAATGGGTAGGAGAGAACCCTAGGAACGAGGTTGCTCTCACATCGCCATTTTGGAAACAAGAGGGAAACTGGGCCGAGTTAACTGACTTTCGAAAAGACCTCTGGGATTGGTATAAGGCTAAGGAAAAATTTAGGCCGTTTTCGAGTTACCCAGGGCTTCTGTTTCAAAGCGAGGCTAGGTGCAAAGCCGTTGGTATGAAAATGATGTTTTTAATTCAGTATGCAAATGAGACTCATTTTCACAAGAAAGGTTTTGCATCTAGCCTCGTTTTGAAAGGAAGTTTTGAGAACTCGAAAATGGCCTGTTGGCCAATAGTCGCCGATAGCTGAACGATCAGAACGATCCCAGATGTGGACGGTACTGAGAGCCGTGAACGCCTCTTTTACACTTTATTTCATCTTCTTGTCGTTCACTGCAAAACAATATAATATGAACGTGAAATTATCAAATTTAGGTTTTTGAGACAAACATCAATCCACCAGAAACATTAATTTAGATTTCTCCACCTACAAAACCGCAACGGGATAAGACTCACATAACTCAAGTTTCAAGATGGAATTAAGGCACAGGCGGCAGCGAGATTGTACCAAAAGATTAAACGATAGTCAGTTTCTTTCACTGAATTCGTTTTCATTGTTTACTTTGAATGTTTATCTCGGTAAGGAAGAGAAAAAGAGGAAACAAACGGTGACGAGAAAACGACGGTTTATAGGTGGTTTCGTTTTGTGGTTTACAGCTTTAATACACAGTAATTTTCAAGGAGTTATAATAACTCCTCTAGTGGGGCTAATTTAACTCCTTACAGTGGAGTTATTTTTTGGGGAGTGATTTTGACTCCAAGAAGGAGTTTAAAGAACTCTTTTTCAGGACTAAAAGTTACCCAAGATATTGAGGAGTTAAAATAACCAAAAAAGGAGTTATCCTGTACCTAAAATCTTTACTCCACTTCCAGAGTTAAATTAACTCCAAAAAGAGTAAAAACAACCCATGTAAGGAGTAAAAATAACCCCATTTTGGAGTTTAACTCCAGACTGGGAGTAAAAAGAACCCTTTTTCAGGAGTAAAAATGACGGAGTTAAATTACGAGTTAAAGTAACCCCAAAAAGGGTTATCCTGTACCTAAAATTTTTACTCCATATTTGGAGTTATAATAACTCCCTAAAAATTACGGTGCACGCCACAGTGAGAAATAGGTTCAAGCAGCGAGGAACACTGTGAGCTGTAGAATATCCTCTTTACCTATTTTTGTCTGAAAAAGAGAGGAATTAGATATCCATTTAATATTTAGAAGATCTGCTCAAGCTTTACCGACGAAATTATTATCTTTAAAGGTCCTTTTGCTTTGTAGTACGTTAGCAAGGGAAACAAAAAATAGTTTTTGAACAAGTTGGGTAACAGTGATCGGGAACCTCCCTATTCATCCTTCGAAGGAGGTCATTAAAGGAGACGTGCAAGTTTTCGAGGGGATTTCATTTATTTCTTTTAATGTTTTTGCCTTTACACATAGGAACGCAAGGCTACTTTGAGTCGTGCAAGCTTCAATAAAACGTCCTTCAACCTAAGAGACAATCTAACACTGAACATCCTGGTAGAGAATCAAGGACATATAACAGGAGGCTCAGACATGCAGGATCCCAAAGGAATCCTTGGAAATGTGACCATAAACAAGGAAATTCTTGTCGACTGGGAAATGTATACATTGGACTTACAAAGTTCTCAAGGGTGGAGTGAGGCTTTTAAGAACGATAACACAGGGACAGCAAGTAACCTTTTGTCCGACGTACCCACGTTTTATCATGGCTTGTTTAGTATATCCCCCGATGGTAGCCCAGGAGACACTTTTCTGAAGTTTCAAAATTGGCATAAGGTAATATACGCTGGTATGCTTCTTGATTATATTTTCTTCTATGCGCGAGAGCAGAGGAGACTTGTTTCCATAGTGATCGACTAATGACGTTAACTTGAAGGCGCGCATCCACACTGGTTTCCAACTTTTTACGCAAATCGTTGTAAATATATTTTAATAAAAAGACTTTCCATTGAAATCTGGAATATAGTCTGGACTCGCTTTGTTCCGTATCCACTACAACATGGAAATTGACCTTGATGAAATAATCCGTTGATTTGCAAGGCTTCATCTGAGGAGAACGGAACTGGCCAATATCCTGCGTGAATGACTCAAAAAATGCAGGGAAGGAGACTTTAGGGAATTAAAATCCCAAAAAAACTTACGGAGCATGCTCTCGAACCCCCTCAGAAGCTTGCGCCTTCGACGCTTGTTTAGAAAATCGGTCAGTATTTATCCTGGATCCGCGCCTAATTTGACAAACTCAATTGATATGATTGGCTGCTATTTTGGTGCCCTATGTGACAATACTCAATACTCAGTATTTTATTAAGAATTAGACGTTTTCATGATTGATATCGACACAGATAACAGCTGCATAGGAGACTAGGTATATTTAATATCTCAGCGAACCACAATTGCTCAGGCCAACATTGTAAACCGGGTCACTTCTGATATGTTGTCATTTTAGGGTCAGCTGTATGTCAATGGCTTTAATCTGGGTCGTTACTGGCCCGTAAAGGGTCCTCAACAGACACTTTACGTTCCTGGCTCACTGTTGTCTGCTGGAAAGTCAAATGAAGTGATTCTCTTGGAGCTGGACAGTGCACCCTGTACAGTCCCTGAGAGCTGTTTTGTGCAAAGCGTCTCGACGCCCATACTGGACGGACCCGTGGATGGGAGCCCTCCTAAGCAGGCGTGAATTTGACGGCGATTTTTCCACTGCAAATTGGAAGCCATAATAATAATATTATTAATAATAATATCAATAATAATTATTATAAGAAGAAGGAGAAGAAGGATAATACTAATTGCGATGATGATGATGATGATGATGATGATGAGGATGATGATGATGATGATGATGATACCTTAATTATAGTGTCAATTTAGGGCACAAGTAGTTTTGCTCATCAGAGATTCGTCACGGAAATTTAGAAAGCCTATTTGATATTTTATAGCTGGTAAATGTCATTTACCTTTGACACAAATAAAGTTCCTTTTTTTTTCGTTCTTCTTGTATCAAAAACATCTCGAATAAACAGGTTGCTCTCCAAGACAGAAGGCCAGGTTGCAGAGAATTTTTAATGCTAAATTACGTCCTAAACTCCCCTTCACCTAAACAACTAAGACGCCCATCTGCGTCTATTCTTCTTCTGTAAAACTTGCTGCCTGAAATCGCGGCTTTTTAAGTAGGGGTAAAAGAGTTGCACTTTTCCCTTGCAAGACAGCATGTACTTTCCCCCCAGTGGAGGGAAATAACCGGCGGCGACTGTAGAAGTTAACAGCGTCAACTCGAGTGAGTATAATGGCTCAGCCCATCAATCCCCCCACCCCCTCCCCCAACCCACGGACAACCCAAAAAGAAGACATTTTCTTGCACGAAGATAAATCCATGTAATGTCTGTTTTGCCTTAAAACAGAGCTCGTGCTTGACATGAATTAACTGAAATAAAGAAAACGAAAAACAACGAGGATTTGAGAGCTTCCCCTGAAATGCAGAAAGGGAAGTTGTGTGACAGTTTGTCTTGTGTAACAGCAAGCTCTTGGCGGTGGTAATCCTAGCCGTGCAGCGCTAAATCTTGCGCCCCACCCATTTACTACGTTCATGATCTATTAAGACCGTTCCAAATTGTGTAGTTTGTGATTGCTGTGTCCCAAAAAATAATGACCTTGCTGAAATTTCTTAGTTTGATGGTCACCCTAAGCGTTGTTGCATTCTCAAGCGCGGAGGAATCCTGTTTGAAGCTCAATACTTGTGTGTGTATGTTCAGTAACAAGTCAATAGTCGACTTATGGCCGGTGGATGGATCTTCCAAACCGAGGTAAGAACTTTCCATATTCATATCCTGAATTGTTAAAAAAAACACCTTGATTAGATTACATTTGCCTTGCTCTGTATTTTTGGGAAAAAGAAGTGCAGAGGATCTCATTTCCATCCAAGTACTTTCGGATGCGCAAATTATGCTTTATGATAAAGATATAAGCTTATTTTATTCTCTAAACATACTTGATATACTGGATATACTCATATCGAAGGCAAATTAATTAACCAAAAGACATAAAAGTTGTTTTCCTCATCATCGTTCAGGGGAAAATAATGATAATAATGCCAGTGTAATGTGTTGTTCTCCGAGGGGGTCAAAGGGGTTTTGCATAAAACGGATTAGTTTTCGTGAAAAGCGAAAACACGAAATTAAAATTCGTGAACTGCGAATAGTTGCTTGTCGTGATACTCGAACTTTTAAATCTTTTATGCGATATACGTGATTTTCAACTAATTTTTTCGTGAAAATGGACGGTGAGTTGAATTTGAAGAAAAATTTTACTGAAGCCAGTGGACCTTCAAATGAACTTGTGTTAAAAGTCCTAAAGGACTTAAAGTCGTTCCCCTCATATGTCAAGCTAAATGACCTTAAGCGCCTTTTTCGTCTTTTGTTTCCCCCACCGAGTCCCGAGCTTGGAGACAATTTCCGTCACGTCAGTATTTTTCAATCAATCATAATTCAGCTCTTATTTTTGTGAAGCTAACACGCGTCTAAATTGTCGTGGATAACAGGGAAAGAGCTAAAGCGAGAGCACAGGTAACCTAGGCTCTGTGATAGTACCACAGTACGGTTCCATTAAAATTACAGTGTTTGTATGGGGTAAAAATATCATCCTAAAATTTCTAGGAAATACTAAATAAAGATCAATAAAACTTACTCTGCAGTTAATTGTTGTTGTCCTTATTGCTCCAAAGAAGTTTCGTGATAATTTGCAGTAATTTGTTTAAATTCACTCTATCTACAATAATAATATACATGGTAGGAAACACGAGGTGCCATTTTCGCCGACATGCTCTCATTCAACACAACTTTTTCCACGAAATTCGAACTCCAACGGAAAATAAACATGCCAGAATCGTAGAAATAGGGTAGCAGCAGATATAGAAACCAATGAAGCTTTCCCAGATAGAGAAACGAATCCCACAGACTTTGACAAACTCGAAGAACATAATCCAAACAGACCGAGAACATGCTCGACGAAGCAGCCGGGCCAGATCAACACGTGGCCAAGAAAATGAGGCCTGGGCACTGTACAAAAAAATTCTATCCCGGGGGTCCTGGGGTGACCTTTCTAGGGACCGATACATCATTTGCCCAAAGCCACCCTCCCCTGGTGGAAAAATACTTAATAAATCTTCTAAGCGGCAAATCATTGAGTACACTGGTTTGAAAGCTGAGTCTTAAAAGCGTGGTCTAGGATCCCCGATCCTTCAAGGGAGCAAAGCTTGTGCGTTAAACAACGACAACAATAATTAAGATGAAATGAATTTTCAACGAGCAGTTACGCGTCGTAGCGGAAGAATGGTCAAAGCCAAGTCGAAGTTCTTCTAAGTTTTCCTTTAATATTTAGACCTATTTCGTGGATAGTAAATAAATAAGACAACGGAATTAAGGTTAAATGGTATTACTTTTTTAATAGTACTATCCGTCAGCATTAGTCATCATCAGTTTACCGGTACCCTCACCTACATTAGAGAGATTAAGATTCACGTTTACGCCAAACGTCAAACACGAATTTGTACCACGTGACCAAGCTTTTCCCTCAATTGTCGTTAACTGTTTATTACTTCAACTAAAAAATAGGTACTTTCAAGCCAGTTTTATACATAACTCGGAATTGTTTTAACTGTTTTTATCTGCTTATTTTCTATTCTGAGAAATTCTCAACTTGAATCTGACGTTTGCTGTTTGGCGTAAACGTAAATCTTAATCTCTCTATTGGCCGAATTTATACTAGAGACGAATTATCCGTGTAGACGGATTATCCGTCTCAGATGGATAATCCGTCTCTAGTATAAATTCGGTGCTAAGACAAATTATGGAGAAAAATTCGTCTGAGGCTGATTTGTCTGTTAGCACATCTTCAAGACTTGCTAGCAGACGGATTATTCGTCTTAGACGGATTATCCGTCTCTAAATTTATATCTGACGGAAGGTGGACGGTTTTTTTGACGAAGTCTCCACATGAGAGGGACTGGTTTCTATATTTTCGCAATATTTCTATATATCAATATAAATATCAAGACGAATTAGTCGTCAAAATTCTTTTTCGAATTTATGCTTAAACGAGTTATCCGTCTGAAGGATAATCTGTCTAGACGGATAACTCGTCTCTAGTATAAATTCGGCCATTGTATGTTCACCTGACTTGTCCACTGACTTCTGTTACTTCTATTTCTCTGCAATAGCTCTGCGGCGGGAGGCTCAAAAGGCAAAACATCAACCCCACTATTAACTCTGCAGACAGCAGCATTCTGAACAGGTCTAGCCATCCGCTGTCCTTTTCCTTCGGAAATTTCCGTGAAACATGAACTCGGAATTTTAATCCCAGTGATGCGTTATTTTCACTTGTTGAAGTCCGTGATACGTGCGTAGGACTCTCTCCCTTACCCCCCTCTTCTCCGTTTCACGCAGTTTGCTCTCCGTGCATTACAACTGGTCGACGATGATCATAAAATATTCTTATGTTCGGCTTTAAGCTTATGTTATTTAACAATGATCAAGACAAACCTCCAGTGAATTTGTTTGAGCAATGTACCAAAGTGTTATCTTTTCATTTTAGTTTTACCCAAATACCGGAAGCTGAGGCACGCGTTTTTGAGTGGAACCCCTGCACACCTTTCAGTACTGGTGTATCTGGCTGTAACAATGTGACGGTAAGTTAGTGACATGAAAAATGCCAATTAACTCTTGGAGCGTGGCAGATACAAAACGTACAATTTGACAGGGGTACCCAACGAGGCTTTTTTTCTAAATACATTAAAAACACATTTTAGGCTATCCAGAGTATCTTAAGATCTCTGGAAACGTATTCTAAGCGACGCTATAAAATTTGTATCTGTTCATTCATCCTAAGGAAAATTGAGGAATTTCGAAATTACAAGGGCTTCAGCATTATTTTCCCGAAACTTTTAGATGCAATTTAAGACCCATTTAACGTTTTACGAAAGTAAGAAATGTTTTTATTCCTCTCTCCAACGCATTTGCGAGTCCGAAAATTTTAGGTTTCCTTTTTCTACGAAAAATAGCTTAATCTGGGAAGAGAAATGCGAAAAATTTAACTTCAGAGAATCGTAGGGAATTTATTAGATAAGCTTCGAAAATTGTACATGAGTGGAACGGTCATCTAGATATTTTTAGCCTTTTTCAAGCTATAGAAAATTCTAGGCAATTTTTGCTTCTCCGAACAGATATTTTACAGAAAACAGTCGTTGGGTGCCCGGCTGATTTGAAGGACTTGATAGTCCACGACACAGTGAATTTAACAATGATATTGAAATAGCAAATATTAACCAACAAGTAACAACCAACTCACTTTAAATCGTGTTTTATGTTGACCTGTTTTCTGAAAACACTAAATGCTTGCATGCATAAGTACCCAAAATGTTTGCCTTTACACTGAAAACAGCTTTAGAGGTCAGGGTGGCCCGGACTAATTGTTTGTTTTGGGTTTTACTTTTTCTGAAGGTTTTGATCCAACTAAGTGCAGTTGTCTAGTTCAGACCAAGACATGCCATTTCCCCCCCCACCCATTTTCAGACCTGGCGTCCAAAAGTTGTAAAATTTCGGTTGGCTGGCGTATACAAATCCGTAAATTTATGACGACAAGTATCTGTATAAAAATTTTTGACAATTTTTATTCTCCCTCAGTCTTGTCAAAGGACTGACATTGAAAATTATCCAGCTGGGACAGCAAACACCACTTTTTCTGTGGACAGTGAAGACAATGTTGTTATCACTTATGGAGCATCGAAAGGTCCTGACAATTTTTGGAGGTATTTTGCAACGTTATCTTCAAACCAGAGTCTACGATCGGGGGAAAGGGTCAAAGAATAACTGGTTTAACAGCCAAGGGAACATTTTCGTCCCCTTTTTTATAACTTCCCATGAACTCCTAAAATTTTGACAAGAGAAATAACTTATTTGAAGCTAGCACTCAAGCACTTTTCCGTGCCTGACCAGATTAGTATAGGTAATAGCATTATTTTTAGTGATATTTGGCATAAACACCTCGAGTGATATTTTGAAATTGATATACGTAAATAGTGAAATTTGAGGCAATTTTGAAATATCTCAAGTGGTATTTATGCCTCTAATATCATAGGTGACGAATTACTCCTTAATTTTGGCGCGAAATTTCAGCGTTAATTTGTAATTTCACAAGTGAAATTACAAAATTGCTATGGCAACCCTTCCGTACGTCTCAGTGTCAAGATGGCGATGAAGTTTTAAAATGCCGTGAATGAAAATGTCAGGGCACAAAAAGATGCTTTAGAAAACCTGAACACACAAGAGAACATCAAGAAGGCTTCTAACAGGTATTTTTCCGAAAAAGTCTGAAAAATTCTGAACTTTATAAGCCAAATTTAAGGTCTAACCATTTTACAGAGTGGAGTTCTCGATCGATACGACCCAGGATAAACATGTCAAAAAACCAAGATTGCTAACGTAATTCGTCACCCATGATATATTAATAGGTAATCAAATGGTATACTCGTGAAATTAGGGAATAATTTCACTTGCGTTTTGTCCAAATCCTAATAATTTACCGAGCCTTCAGGCGAGGGAAATTATTAGGATTTGGACAAAACGCGCGTGAAATTATTCCCTAATTTCACTCGTCACCATTTGATTACACATACATATCACGTACAAATCATGCTGTTATTTGTTTATAATACTAACCGCAAAGGTTTTGTAATTTTCACATGTAGTCTATCAAATTAAGCTGAAATACCACTGCTCTAAGCCAATCAAATTGCAGAAATTTCTCATGTAGTACTGTTTCAAGTAATGCCTGGCTAGAGAGATGGTATAGCTGTTATAGATTTAATTGATATATGGTTTATCTAGGCAAACAGAAATTACACTGAGGTGTGATCCAGACAAACCAGGCAAAGGAACCATACCAAGCCTTACAGAGAGAATTCTTCCCTCAGGACATGCCTTATATGTAAATATATTAGAGTATTTTGACTTTTAACCCTTTTATAATCATAGAGCAGAAGAAGTGAGTGATCACTGATGAGCATGAAAAATAGGTTATTTATTTAGTGAATAAATATTAGAAAATTAACTAAAAAGTGGTGAACAAGTAAAACAAACCAAAAAAATATACATAGATTATGAGTCATACCTTGTTATTACATTGGTACCACTGCAGTTTTATGATTCATACAACATAATAAGATCATCGCCAACCTTTACGACTTTTTTAAGCCATAATTTAAGAATGGCTTTTGGTCCAAAAAGATACCCTTTTCAAGACGCTAAATGGCAACATCGTATACCCTGTACAAGGCTCTACCCTGAAAACCACACCCTGTTCAATGCCACATACCCGTATAGGCAAATAAGGGAGGGGGCCCAGTATGTCACTCATACCCACTTATTCAACTGGGTCATTGAAGAGGAAGGGACCAACAGGGTAGAGTGGTTTACTAAACAAGCGAGACTGTAAAGCTTGAACCCAGACCTACAGCAACAAAAGAATGAGGTGTTAATCATTAAGCCACCACAATAACACCGAGTCCCTGGGGTTGGATATTGGCAGTTATAGTGTGGCTTGGGAATCAGGTATTTACCTATACCTACCCAAGGGGTACCCCCTAGGTTTTGACATGCACTTGGTTACCGCCTCGAAACCCAGACATGGAGGATTTCTTTGCGAAGGTTCGGCCATTTGCCACAGATTGACTTGTCATTCAAGGTCTCGGTAAATTGTAAAAAGCATGTTTTCTCAACTTAATACGTTTCTTTATTTTGCTTTAATCAAGCGACAACTTGAGCTATCAATAGCAAAAAAATTGAGTCAGCCTTGTTTTAAGTTGATTGTGAATGAATCCACGGGTGGGGCATTTGCCATATTCCTGGATCCTTCATCAATTTGGTAGTTTTAGTGTCCCTACCCCCAGGAATTTAGCATCCAAGATAGAGAAATGTGCAAATGCCAGAGTATTTATCCAGGGGGTGAGGGATGGGCACAACTTGAACTAACCGATATGTATAAATCATTCAAGACTTCTCTTGTGCAATCTTAAAGCTGCCTTTACAAATTTGAAGACACTTTCATTGCTGCCGCTCGGTTATGGAATGAATTGTAGCCGTTCAGCATATCATTTTTAAAAAATACATATTTATTGCTTAAGTAACACCAGAAAAATAATTGCTTTTCAGACTGGAACATTTACTTCCAAATTCGCCTGTGCCTTTCCAACTCACCAGACTCTGCCTGGTGATCCTGTGCAACAGACGGATGAAGTGATAATCTAAGTTATACTGGCAGGAACGATCAGTAGTTAGCTAGTAGTTAGCGGTGGATCAAATTTTAGTGGAACCCGTTGATACACCACGGTTAAGCCGTGAAAATGTGATCGTATTGGCGACTGGTGGCTTTGCATTATTATACTAAGCCTTGCTAAGCTATAATAACAAAAATTAAATTTAATATATCATCACTTGTGCACTTTGACCAATTTTCAAGAAAGAGCATTACTGTTTGTCAGATTGATTGCTTTAGTTATTCCCCGGGGCCCCCGGGAGTTATTCTCACCAACGACGCACAATGGGGCACCCAACGACAGTTTTCTCCTAAAAACATTGAAAACACTTTTTAGGCCATCCAGAGTACTTTTAGATCTGTAAAAATACATTCTAAGCGGCGCTATAAAATTTTTATCTGTTCGGTCATCCTAGGGGAACTTGAGTTTTCTCGAAATTCTAAGGGCTTGAGTATCATTTTCCCTAACATTTTAGATGCAATTTGATGTGTTACGAAAGTGAGACATCTTCTGATTCCTCTCCCCATCACATTTTTTTAATCCCAAAATTTTACTTTTCCTTTTTTCTACGAAAAATAGCCCAACATAGGGAGTAAAATGTGAAAATTAAACTTCAGAAAATAATAGGGAATAAATTAGATAAGCTTCGAAAAATGTTCATGAATGGAAATTTTTAGCCGTCCTCAAGTGCTAAAAAATTCTAGGCAATATTGGTTTCTCCGAACAGATGTTTTACAGGAAACAGTCGTTGGGTGGCGCTGAAGAAATTCAGTCCATTGATTGTACTCATTGTGGTAATTCCCCGTGAATAAGAGCAAAATAGAAGACGCTCGCTACGCACGCTATAGACGCGTGAAGTGAATAGCAACGGAAAGGTCTTTTAAACGTGTTTTGGAAAAAATGAAATACAGCAGTGTTGTTATGGAGAGAATTTACACATCGCTGACACAGGGATTTGGGGGGTGTACTCTACGAAAGGATACCCCTTTCGTATACCTTCTATTGGCAAAAAGAAGCCTGAAACCCAAGAAGAAAAGGTGTAACTTTACTCTTTTCTTTTTATAAGAATGTTGTTTATCCGGCCCAAGCTGAATATTCTTATCTTTCTGCCAATTTGAGGCTGAAAATATTAAGTTACAGCTTCCGACTTTTCCCCTTTAAATGTGTTGGGGTATAAATTGCAACTCAAAATTTTCCCGCCAAAAATATTTCTAGAATAACTGAAAAAAATAAATGCATTGTGCCTGAGCAAACAATATTCTGTTATTTTCCCCTCACTCCGTTATTGGGAGCATTCCGTCCAATCTGTTATCAGGGGCAAAAGAAAATGGCATGAAATGAAATAATCAACCCCGCATACCGTAAACCTCGGCTTATAAAAGGGTGTCAATGGAGTGGTAGCTTTGACGGCGTTACGATTAAATTTTGGATTTTTGAAATTATGGGATTTGTCAGGATATTCTGAAAGAACAACGTCCAAGAGGCCCTTGTGCCAAAAATGAGCATTTCGGGGTAAATTGTCTCTGAGATATTAGTAAAATGCAACCAGTTGTCTATTATCAATGCTGCGTTCGGATTGGTTAAGCTACTACTAGGCTGTATGTTATAGCCCAGTAGTAGCGGAAAGAGCCGGCTTTGAAAACCAAAACAATGGCGGGTGAATAGCGTTTTGCTAGCTAAAGTTGTTTTGTCTCGATATTTTTTGACCAACTTGTTGGATTTTACTAAAACAATTATTCCTCTCGCGTCGCCCTCATGGGCTCTGAGTCAACAGCCCATAACGCCTCATGAGCTATTGACTCAGAGCCCATTCGAGTTCGAGGAATAATTGTTAAATAGCCAAGTTATGCTGAGATATACCCCCCCAAAAAATTAGAGGGGTTTGTATGGATTTATCAAAAGAAGTTTCACGTTAGTCGACAACCTTGACAGGTGCGACAGGCGACAATTTTCCCGACAAGTTTGACAGGTGACGTCACATCCGATGTTTGAAAAGTCGCGCGTGAACAGGAAATTTCTCTCAACATATCATGTCTTATCTGTTTACGCACGTAAAGCCAAATTAAAGATTTACTTTATGTCCGTCTAAACATGATCGTACCGGACCGTAGCCAACTTTGACTGGTGCGACTGAGGATGCAGCTTGCTAGCTCGGTCCCAGTCCCCAGCTGTGCAAGTCACAATGCCCTACCGGTACCCCTCGGAGGTCGGAGCTTCCCAATTGAGTCCATACCCATCGTCTTCCGTAGGTGAAATCTTCCTACGCAAGAGAGGACATTTAATATAAGGGGAATGTGATCTGATATGGCTTCTAAACTGCCGGAAAAAAGTCAGCCGATAACGTCAACATGCTTTAAAAAAAAGGACAGCACTGCTCGTTTCGCATTATAAGCTATCGTAGGAAGTAAAAAAATCTCTGCATGGGTTTCGTACAGAAATTTGGGTATTTAGTTTCTAAGGTTAAGTAAACAACAAGATCGATTTCCTGATCAATGGAATGATCGAAGAGTCAGTTCTTTGATTGATTGGTTGATTGATTGATTGATTGATTGATTGTTTATATGCCCCCTGAGCAAACAAATTCCAGTACCAGTGATAGCAAAAATGGCCATCGGAGTCTACTTGCTGGTTTGCCTTACTTATGCTACATGTATCCTTTTCCATCAAACAGCAGCAAGATCCTTCACCGTGGACTACAAAAACAATGTCTTCCTCAAAGATGGCGAACCATTTCGCTATATTTCTGGAAGTATTCACTATTTTAGGGTCCCTCGCGTTTTTTGGCGTGACAGGCTCGAGAAGATGAAAGCGGCAGGGTTAAATGCCATACAGACGTGAGTATTTTTCAACTCAAAAGTCCAATTTCACGAATATCTTCAAATGTCAGTTTGTTACTAATCATAATAATATATGGTATCATGCATAACGCACCGTCAAAAAGGAGTTTCATGCATGTTAATAATGGATCAAACAGCCACCAAGAACTAAAGGATTTCGTGCACATAACATACTCGACGATCCAAACCTTAAAGAATACAAAAGCCGTTTACATCACATTACTTTACGAAATTCTCCCATGCAGTCGATGCCTCTATGGAGATATACCGTGGAACTCAATTTTGAGGGAGTTTTCTGCAGATGGCCGATTTTTTGTCTTTGGGGTCACTTTGTTGTTAGCCTGCGAACAGCAGACGCATTTCCGGTCGTCGCTTCTCTCCCTCCGAAAAATATAGAGAAGCGACGACCGGAAATGCGTCTGCTGTTCGTAGGCTACTTCGTTGTAGGTAGCCAAAAAATATATTAGGACTTTCAAGAGGCACTTTATAGAGAAAGTCTAAGAAAGACACTAAACTCTGGTCGTCTTGAAAGTTTATTTTAGGTGGCTTTTACTTCTCATCTGAAACTGTTAGTAACCCTCAGATGCATGGACCCTAATGAGTTCCGTCGAATGTTAGAGAACGTTTGTCTTAACTTAAAACCGAAATTTTCAGGAGACCTTTTTTAAGAGAGTCTTACAGGGGTATTTTCATGATACGTGATCAGCTGTTTTTATTTTTCGCGAATTGTGAATTCAATAAATATCCTTCGTGTTCCGTGACCAAATGGAAAAGCGTGTCCTTTATAGAAAAACTGGAATTAATAATCGATATTCGTGATTTCATTACTTATTTTTTTTCGTGATTTTCAGTTTCGAGACCTTTCCGGAAGATGAGATTTTGAAAGTGTCAAATGAGAATGATGAGGTTTGGAAATTGCTATTTACATCTTTCTTTTCCTTTTCGCCACTTTCAAGCTTTTTTGTCAGACACCTTTCTTGCTCCTTTACTGTTTGCGTTAGAGCAAGGTGAAAAACCATACTTTACATGCTGATATCGTCACTCGATTCGGTTTGCAACTAGACTTGCAACAAGTCGACCTCTTTGCAAGATTTGAATACACAGTAAACAGAAAATGAAAATGATAGGCTAGTAAAAATATAGATGTCACTAATTAAGTTTATCACGTCTATTTATATAACCACGACTCTAATGTTTTGTAGGAGGTCTGTGTTTTGTCAATAATGTGAGTCTCGCGTACTTTTCTGACAGAGCCACGGTTGCTACGGATTAGTTGTAAGATCCTCTAAGGGAACAAGAAGGTCGTCGTTAAGGAAGTGATCAGTTTTGTTAAAATGAGAAGAGGATAGCGCGTTTAAACGGAGTCCAGTCTGCAGTCCTGTCTTTGATAGCGACAGAATGATAAAGTAGTTGCCATAGACACACTAAAATACTGTCAAAATCCGTTAAAAAGGACACTGAAGGGGCCATAGTAAGTGTCCGTATTAACGGGGTGCCCGTATTAAGCGGGTTGAATTGAGAGGAAATGTAAGGGCAACCTCGTCGTAAAGGGGGCAGGTGGCAGAGTTTGACAGTACAGCTTACATCCCTCTTGTTGTATGCGTAATGAAAATAGGATACACAGGCTACCCATATCCTGAAGTACACCACAGGCCAACCTTCCCAGGTTCCTTTCATACTCGTTCCCCTCTCTCTCGCTACGGGGGACGAGCGGCAGAGGACCCTGGGAATAAAGGTTGTACCGCAGGCGTATAGACCTTATTCACGATACCCGCCATCTTTACACGCGCCTAAAAACTAACGGGTTAAAAGAGGTGTCACGTGGTTTCTCAGGGTGCAGACAAGCGGATAAAATCTGCCGATACAAGAAATTGCGTCGAGACTACTTATTCCAGGCAACAAACAATGAAAAACCTCTCCTCCTAAAGACATGGCAAATTATCGGTGGAAGTCATCGTTGCTACTTTTTTATGATGCGGTAGCGACCGTAGATGCTCTCACAGCAAGCGATAACGATGATGAAACTTGTCGAAACTCAGGAAACTCGAACTGTAGATTTTGCATGACTAAAATCGTCGTCTCGTTTTGAGACAATAAACAATTTCGACCGCGATTACTCGTATTGGCAAATTTCGTCTTAATTTCCCTTTTGGAAGGTCCATAAAAAAAAACATAAAATAACGGCTGTCGGTACCAGCTGCTCCTTTACTGTAGTGGTTAAGTAAGAAACAAATGTACTAAACCGAGGTCGAGGCTTCCTGGCTGTCAGTAGTTTTTGGACTTTCTCTTTGTTTCTTTAAAACAACAAGTAATTAAGGTCTCCTCAGTATGTAAGGTTGATGAGTTGTTCGACCTTCATCTGAGTTTTATCTTGTAGACAATACCATACGAAACCATGAAAGGGCTTCGATGGCCTTTCATATTTCTTCCCAATACAATCCTATGGTTTAGTTCGAAACAACGCTGAAAGTGTCATGATACACTTAAAAACTTTAATTCAAGTTCTCAACTGGAACCTCTGGCAATGGAATGGACTATACCCAAATAACAGATCGTTAAACGATCTTACTTCTGTGTTGTCTTTCTCACAGGTACATAGCATGGCAGGTCCACGAGAAAGTTGAAGGACAATATGACTTTGAGGGGGGAAACGATTTTGTTGACTTCACGCAGTTGGCAGGATCTTTGGGGTTGCTGGTGATTATAAGAGCAGGTAAGTTAAACGAAAAAAGAGATAATACACCCCATATACCTCAGAAAAGGCGCTCGCTGGAATTCGTTAGCAGTATAGCATAGACCGAGAAGTCCATTTTAAAGTGGAATCTCTTTAGGGTGAAGTGGAGGAGCTGACTTTGAAAACTTTTACTTAGTCCAACTCTCTTCACTTATAGATCGTTTAGTCTCTGTTGTCCCGCTATATGTGCTAATGAAATATTGTTACATATATATGCTCATTGCTTTAATTAGCTTCTGTACCTTCCATTAACAAAAGTCTTATCAGAACCATGTGACGCTCTCTCGTCAAACTAGCGCCTGAGGGCACAAAATGCCCGGGCATTAGTGTTCAAGCATCAAGTGTAAACGTAAATAGCCTGATGTGTTTTCCATAAATGTCTTCTTATAGCCATGCGTCTTCTCCGTGCGTCTTCTGTTATAACCACACGTGTTTTCTAGAGCTATGCGTGCCTCCTTATTGCCGAGCATGTTTTCTTACAGCCATACGTGTTCTTTTTGCAGGCCCTTTTATCGCAGCTGAGCGAGATATGGTAAGCGTGTAACAAAAATTAATATATTTTTCAAACACCTTATTTGAACATTCAAAGGTGCTTTAGTTCT